GGAAGCCCCCCCCCCCCCCAATGCAGCTCCCAGGGTGAAGTCCCCCCAAACAGCCCCAAAACGAGGGGGTCTAACCCCAAACTGGGATGGTCTGACCCCAAACAACCCAAAATGGGGGGGTATGACCCCAACACCCCAAAACGAGGGGGGGGGGTCTGACCCCCAACACCCCAAAAATGGGGAGGGGTCTGACCCCCAACGACCCCAAACTGGGGAGGGGTCTGACCCCATCCCACCCCCTCCCCCACGTCGGGGCAGCTCCTGGCCCTGGGGAGGATTTGGGGAGCCCCCCCCAGGTGACCCCAAATACCCCCAGACCCCTCGGGGGTCAAAGCCCCCCCATTTCCTCCCCTCCAGGGTGGGCAGCAGCCCCCAGACCCACACTGGCGGTCCCCAAAACCCAGAGCCAGGCTTGGAGCAGCCCCCCCCTCAAGATATGGGGTGACCCCCCCCATAGTGAGGGGGCTGAGACCCCCTCAGACCCCCCAAATCCCCCCCAGGACCCCCCAAATTCCCCTCGGGACCCCCCAAATTCCCCTCAGGACCCCCCAAATCCCCCAAAGGACAGAAGCAGCTCAGGGCAGATCCTTTATTGATTCTGGGGGTCTCTGCTCTGGGGGTCCCGCGCGGGGCCGGGGTCTCCTCACATGGGCTTGGGGGGGGGTCGGGGGGCTGCTCCCTGCAGAGAGAAACCGAAGTTAGGGGGGCACAGAGCCCTGAGACCCCCCCAAACCCTTCCAGGACCCCCCAAAGCCGTCTGGGACCCCTCCAGGACTCCCCCATAACCCCCCGGGACCCCTCCAGGTACCCCCAGACCCCTCCAGATGGGACCCCCCAGACCCAGGGCAGGGTGGAAGTGGGCTGGGGGGAGTGCAGTCCAGAACCCCCCCAGACCCCTCCAGGACCCTTCTAAACACCCCTGGGACCCCCCAAACCCATCGAGGACACCTCAGAGACGACCCCCAACCCCTCGGGGACCCCCCAGACCCCTTTGGGACCCCCTCCCAGGACTCACAGGGGGGGTGGAATCAGGGCAGGGGCGTGCGGTCCTTGCAGGATCCTTCCAGGGACCCCCCCGTAACCCCCCGAGGACCCCTCCAGGAACCCCCAAACACCCCTGGGACCCCTCGGGGACCCCCCCAGGCCCCTCGGGACCCCCCCGGACTCACGGCGGGGCGGAAGCGGGGCGGGGGCGTGCGGTCCTTGCGGGCCTCGCGCGAGCGGTTCCGAACCACCTTGCTGTGGATGGCGCAGCTGACGCAGTAATGCAGCTTCACGTACAGCTTGGGCAGCACGTAGGCTGGGGAGGGGGAAACGGGGGTCAGGGACCCCAAAAATACACCCAGGGACCCCAAAAACACACCCAGGGACCCCAAAAACAGCTCCAAAACTACACCCAGGGCAGTACTGCAGCTTCACGTAGAGCTTGGGCAGCACGTAGGCTGGGGAGGGGGAAACGCGGGTCAGGGACCCCAAAAACACACCCAGGGACCCCAAAAACGGCGGAAGCGGGGCGGGGGCGTGCGGTCCTTGCGGGCCTCGCGCGAGCGGTTCCGAACCACCTTGCTGTGGATGGCGCAGCTGACGCAGTAATGCAGCTTCACGTACAGCTTGGGCAGCACGTAGGCTGGGGAGGGGGAAACGGGGGTCAGGGACCCCAAAAACACAGCCAGGGACCCCAAAAACACAGCCAGGGACCCCAAAAACCCCCAAAAACCCTCAAAAATACACCCAGGGACCCCAGAAACCCCCAGGGACCCCAAAAACAGCTCCAAAACTACACCCAGGGCAGTAATGCAGCTTCACGTACAGCTTGGGCAGCACGTAGGCTGGGGGGGGGGGAAACGAGGGTCAGAGACCCCAAAAACCCCCCAAAATACACCCAGGGCAGTACTGCAGCTTCACGTAGAGCTTGGGCAGCACGTAGGCTGGGGAGGGGGAAACGCGGGTCAGGGACCCCAAAAACAGCTCCAAAACTACACCCAGGGCAGTAATGCAGCTTCACGTACAGCTTGGGCAGCACGTAGGCTGGGGGGGGGAAACGGGGGTCAGGGACCCCAAAAACACACCCAGGGACCCCAAAAACACACCCAGGGACCCCAAAAACCCCTCAAAAATACCCCCAGGGACCCCAAAACACCCCCAGGGCAGTACTGCAGCTTCACACAGCCTGCTCTCTCAGGGGTGGGCAAGGGGGACAATTTTGGGGGGACAGTGGGGCTGATTTGGGGGTGACAGAGACATTATTTGGGGGGCAAACCAGGAGCTATTTTAGGGGGAAAATGGGGCTGTTTCGGGGAGCACAGGAATATTTTTTGGGGGTATCTGAGGTGACAACGGGACGATTTTTGGGGTGACCAAAGGACCCTTTCCAGGTGACAGAGGCTCTGTTTTAGGGGAAAATGGGGCTGTTTTGGAGCAATTTTCTGGGGCGAGCAGCATGGGATATTCGGGGTGACAACAGGACCATTTTTGGGGTGACCCAAGCACCGTTTCTAGGGCCAGCCAGGGGCTGCTTTGGGGGTGACAGAGGAGTCATTTTGGGGGTGATAGAGGCTCTGTTTTGGGGGAACAATGAGGCTGTTTCAGAAAGGACAGGGATGATTTTTTGGGGCGAGCAGCGTGGGATGTTCAGGGTAACAACACAACGATTTTTGGGGTGACAAAAGGACCCTTTCCAGGTCCAACCAGGGGCTGTTTTGGGGGTGACAGAGGAGCCATTTTGGGGGTGACAGAGGCACCGTTTTGGGGGTGACAGAGGCTCTGTTTTGGGGGTATAATGGGGCTGTTTTGTAAGGGACAGGAACAATTTTCTGGGGCGAGCAGCACGGAATATTTGGGGTGACAAAGGGACAATTTTTGGGGTGACCAAAGGACCCTTTCCAGGTCCAACCAGGGGCTGTTTTGGGGGTGACAAGGGAGCCAGTTTGGGGGTGACAGAGACATTATTTGGGGAGCAAAACAGGAGCTATTTTAGGGGGAAAATGGGGCTGTTTTGGAACAATTTTCTGGGGCGAGCAGCGTGGGATATTCAGGGTGACAACGGGACGATTTTTGGGGTGACCAAAGGACCCTTTCCAGGGCCAGCCAGGGGCTGCTTTGGGGGTGACAAGGGAGCCATTTTGGGGGTGACAGAGGAGTCATTTTGGGGGTGACAGAGGCTCTGTTTGGGGGTGACAGAGGAGCCATTTTGGGGGTGACAGAGGCTCTGCTTTAGGGGACAATGAGGCTGTTTTGGAACAATTTTCTGGGGCGAGCAGCGTGGGATGTTCGGGGTAACAACACAACGATTTTTGGGGTGAGCCAGCAGCGTCCCCAGGGCCGGTTTCGGGGTCCCCAGCCCCACTCACAGTCGAAGACGCTGGCCTCGGAGATGTCCCTGACGGCAGCGGCCTCCACGATGTTCCTGATGACGAATTTCTTGATGGCCTTGTCCTTGGGCACGCAGCGGGCGCAGTTGGTGCAGCGGATGGGCTGCACGTGCCCGCGGCCCTTCTTGGCACGCCCGTTGTTCCTCCTCTTCTTGGTCTGGGGGAGAGCAGGGGGAGCCCAGGATCAGCACCAGGATGGACCCCAGATCAGCCCCAGAGCCCAGGATGAACCCCAGGATGAACCCCAGAGCCCAGGGTGAGCTCAGGGAGGCCAGGATCAACCCCAGAGCTCAGGATCAGCACCGGGATAGACCCCAGATCAGCCCCAGAGCCCAGGATCAGCCCCAGAGCCCAGGATCAGCCCCAGGATGGACCCCAGATCAGCCCCAGAGCCCAGGATCAGCCCCAGAGCCCAGGATCAGCCCCAGAGCCCAGGATCAGCCCCAGGATGGACCCCAGATCAGCCCCAGAGCAGGATCAGCCCCAGGATCAATCCCAGGGAGGCCAGGATTGAGCCCAGAGAGCCCAGGATGAACCTCAGGATCAGCCCCAGAGCTCAGGATCAACCCCAGAGAGTCCAGGATCGAGCCCAGGATGAACCCCAGATCAGCCCCAGAGCCCAGGATCGACCCCAGGGAGGCCAGGATTGAGCCCAGGGAGCCCAGAGAGTCCAGGATCGACCCCAGGATCAGCCCCAGAGCTCAGGATCAACCGCAGAGCTCAGGGGAGAGAGAGGTGAGCCCAGGATCAACCCGAGGATCAACCCCAGGGAGGCCAAAATTGAGCCCAGAGAGTCCAGGATCGACCCCAGGATCAGCCCCAGAGCTCAGGATCAACCCCAGAGAGTCCAGGATCGAGCCCAGGATGAACCCCAGATCAGCCCCAGAGCCCAGGATCGACCCCAGGGAGGCCAGGATTGAGCCCAGAGAGCCCAGGATGAACCTCAGGATCAGCCCCAGAGCTCAGGATCAGCCCCAGAGCTCAGGATCAACCCCAGAGAGTCCAGGATCGAGCCCAGGATGAACCCCAGATCAGCCCCAGAGCCCAGGATCGACCCCAGGGAGGCCAGGATTGAGCCCAGGGAGCCCAGAGAGTCCAGGATCAACCCCAGGATCAGCCCCAGAGCTCAGGATCAACCGCAGAGCTCAGGGGAGAGAGAGGTGAGCCCAGGATCAACCCGAGGATCAACCCCAGGGAGGCCAAAATTGAGCCCAGAGAGTCCAGGATCGACCCCAGGATCAGCCCCAAGGAGGCCAGGGGGAGCCCAGCACTGAGTCCAGGAAGGCGAGGACTGACCTCAGGACCAACCCCAGGATTGAGCCCAGGGGGGACAGGATTGAGCCCAGGATTGAGCCCAGAGCCCAGGATCAACCCCAGAGCTCAGGATGAACCCCAGCATCAGCCCCACGGAGGCCAGGATTGAGCCCAGAACCCAGGATCAGGCCCAGAGCTCAGGAGCAGCCCCAGGATCAACCCCAGAGAGCCCAGGATCAAAACCAGGGAGTCCAAGGAGGACAGAATCGAGCCCAGGGGGGACATGATCAACCCCAGGGGGGACAGGAATGAGCCCAGGATCAGCCCCAGGGCCCAAGATCACCCCCAAATCCCCCCCCCCAAACCACCCCCCGCCCCTCACGGGCCCCGCGCCCCTTTCCGAGCCCCCTCGGGCCCCTCGCAGCCCCCCCGGAGCCGCGCGGGCCCCGGCGGCCACGCCGCGCTCACCATGGCGGCTCTGAGGGAGAACCGGAAGAGGCGCGGCCGCACCACCGCCGAACTTATATCCCTCCGCTGCCTCCGCCCGGCAGCGCCGCCGCCGCCGCTCCGCTCCCCGAGGAGGGCTCGCAGCCTCTCCGCCCGAGGCACCGGAGCGGGCGGGGTTGGCGGAGAGCGGCGGGAGGTGGGGGGGAATTAACGGGAGCGGTGATGGGGTAGGGACTATTTTCGCTGCGGCGGGCGGAGGGATCCGCGCCGGGCACGCGATGAAAAAAACCTCCCGCGCACTGCGTGTGACGTCACCCGCAAGGCGCGCCCGCCGCGAGGGCTGCGGGGAAATGTAGTCCGGAAATGGGGGTGTCCCAGTGAGGCGGGGGTGTCCCCAACCCCGGGGTCCCCAGATGCAAGGTGCCCCCACAG